CTGAGGAACCTTAGCCGCGTTTACCTCATGTATACACCTGGTCGCCTTCCCTTCCCCACACAGTCCTTTCTTCCTTCAGCTGAAGCATTTAGCCGTCCATTCTAAGCCACCTCCTTGAGTTACTCATTATCTGGGTATCTCCCGTGTATGTATGACATATACATGTTAGTAAAGTCTATTTGTTTTCCTTTGTCAATCTGCCTTTTGTTATAGGGGCCCCAGCCAAGGACTTAGAAGGAAAGAGGGAAAATTATTGTTTCCTCCCCAATGGTATCAACATCATGAGGCGCCTCCCATTTAGGTGTTAAACAGGATTTCCAAATGAACTTTTAGCCGAGATAAGGCGGTCCAAGGTCAAGATCGATGCCCACAGCATGCATCAGGCGTGTGTGTACCAAATTATTAATTTATTGTGAATGCCACAATTATATTACATTGTTTTGGGTGTGTGTGTTAAAGTATTAAATTGTAAATGCCAAAAAAGCATGCCACAACTTGTGTAACCCTGCCTTGGCTTTAAAAAAAAATAGTACTTTAAAAATAGCAGCTTCAAAACTTGAGAGTGACCTAGGACCTCTTTCAAGTTTGAGAGGCCTGACTGTGCACCAAAAGTGGCAAGGAGCTTTAATTGTGCTGACGATAAACTAAAAGGACACAACACTCAGTGTGACAAGTACGAGAATATTTATGGCATCAAGAGGGCAAATTAATAAAAAATGGAAACTGTTTTGGAAAATCTGGATGGAATGTTGTCATAAGTAGAACATTTGTAAGTTTCTCCTGGGAAGTGTACTCACTCAGGGACACCACGGAGGGCTCTAACCGTTCTTTTCCTTGGCAGGGAAAGACCATTTTAATCTCTTAAGAACATGTGATTTTTTACATTCACCCATTCCTCACAGTCAGACACAATGGATATAAAAGCAATTTGCACATTGTTTGGTTCTCTTAAATGTTCATTACTGTTAGCTCCGACTACACCCAATGACATAACTGTGGAACCGAGCGTTCACCTTTGTGCATAGCCAAGAATCTCAGAGACCAGACCCAGAAGTAACTAGAGATCTGTGGAGTGTTATCTCCTTATGTAATCCTCACCAAAACACTAGCGGGGAGGGCCATTTCGACACAGCTCCCAGAGAAGAGGCCTGGAGTGTTTGCCCCTGAAGTGCACGGAGCTGAGCGTTTGGCTAGGAGAGGTGTTTCAGAAATATTTGAATTGGCCTGACTTCCCACGTCTGAGGCAGAGCTGCGAGCCCTCGATGTGGACTGTTTGTTGTGGTTGCAGTTGCCAACAGGGCTGCTCAAGCTTTAAAAGACACGTCAGTGGATGATGACACTGCTCTCATCTTCTGTGCGTGCTAGAGAAAAAGAAGACCCTCTCCTCCCCCACCCACCGCCGGCAGTGAGCAGGAGCAGGCTGACAGCAGATGTGTGTGTGTGTGTGTGTGTGTGTGTGTGTGTGTGTGTAGTGAGGGGAGAAGGAAAGCAGGGGTGACACTACCACTCGGATGGGGAGCTCCTTGGTACTTTCCAGAGAGAAGATGAAATGCCCCTAAGAGAACAATAGATCAGCCTCGGCAGTCAGCTCTGCAGAGATGCCTTGTACCAGAGGAGGAACTCCTCTCTATTTGGGGGAAACAGAATTGTAAGGCGTCTCTGCTCCAGTTGCTGCCCTAGTCAGTCCCTAAGTAGGACCTGTGGTGAGCAGACCTCTGTGGGTCTTCTGAAGTGGTGAGTGGGCTGAAACCCACCGTTCAGGAAGATTAGAAATCTAATCTTAAGTGGGCTGTGAGATCACATGCTCTGGGAAAAGATAGAGTGAGCCTGTGGATGAGGAATAGTCATTATATAACTGAAGGACCAAAAGGAGATGTCAAGGGAATTGGTCGGTGTACGCCCTTACAGACCCAGTGCCTTCCAGCTAACGTCATTCGCTTTTTTCTCTCGTTGGGTCTGTCCTGCCCACTGCAGGGTTATTCACCAAGGAGTGGATTGTGACGTGCCTAGGGGTCTCATGAAAACCTGGAAAGAAAGCCCCTCCTCTCTGAAAGGCTTCTCAGAAGATACAGAGAGCTTTGGTGTAGAGGTGATGCCAATGTCACACCTTCTCCCTCCCACTTTCTAACCTTCAAATGTCTAGAGCAACATCCTCTTGACAGTGAGCACTAATAATAATCTATATATATAAAAGGCTAAGTGACCTGCTGACCAGCCAGTAGCTATGATGCACACTGACCACCAGGGGGCAGATGCTCAATGCAGGAGCTGCTGAGTGACAGCAACTTTGCAGAGTGCCCTCTCCCTCTCCGGGCTCCTCAGAGGATGTCAGACTGAGGGTTTCAGGCCTGATCCCTGCAGGCCAGCCTGAGGGACCCGACCAGTACACAAGTCCATGCACCGGGCCCTTAGTGGTAATGATATCAGATGAAGAAACAGACAAATAATAATGACTTGGGGCTAAAGAAGCCTGAGAACTAAAAAAAAAAAAATTAATCTGTAGGACAACTTCAGCTTTGCCTCCTATGAGATGCTATGTTGTGGCAAGACTTTTTTTCTTGCATGATGTACAGTTACTAATTATGTAACTTGAGAATTAGACACTAGGACATGTATCTAGTGTCTATTACCATCCCACAGAGACACAGAACCCTGAACTCTAGTCCTGAATGAATCATTTAAATGCCACATCAACTCTTCAAAGGGAAGCATGATTTCTAGGCCTAAAGAAGTAACTAAAATCACAGTTTTTATAGAACTGTTTTACTGCTGCTTCAGTTAAGATGGGTCATTCTCCTGGTTTAGTTGTTGGTGCTATTTTCCTTTCTTTGCCATAATGATGGCTTACCTACTCAGTGTGTGTATGTGTGTGCATGTATGTGTGTATATGTGTGTACGTGTGTGTATGTTAATTCAATCATTTGCACTGTTGTGTCTGTGGCATGCTTGTCCAGCCACGGCCTCCTTGGGGTCATCATGTATAGCTGTACAGAGAGTGCCCTTCACAACCCCACTAGCTAGGACAGTGATGCCATGGATAAAAATCAGGATCATTGCTGTGGTGTATAGTATCCTCACAGGATGATCTGATCATAAATTCCTCACTGGGCAGGTCACGGTGACTAATCATGCCTCAACCCTATAACTTCTTTAGTAAAAATTTTCTCTTTGCCTTAAGCCAGCCTTGTGCATTGTTTCTGTGGATCTAGATTACCACACCTTTGAAAATGCTTGTTTTTAGACCCCCTCAAAAGCAAAAACACCCTCAAGAGAGCACATCACCTTAACTATCCTGTCATCCAATCCCTGCCTTGCTTGCTCCCACCTTCGTGTAATCTTCCTTAATTCCCTCCTTAATCTCAAATGCATAAAATAAACAAACTGCCAAACTGCCACTCTCTGCAGCATTTGATATCTTGCTTTCCTCCAATTGTCATCAGTTTGATTCAGATAAAATCCTATAAACATTTTCTAAAGGTTTGGAAGTGTCTTATGTTGATGTTGTCAAGTCTAATATGACCCCTAACATACCAATGTTGCTTCCGATGACTTACAAAATGCTTATAATAGGGGCTCATATCCTGATACACCGCTGTGAATTGCAAATATCGTAAATCGAAAATGCATTTAATGTTCTGCACTCACAGAACATCATAGCTTATCTTACACATGCTCAGGACACTGACATTAGCCTATACTTGAGCAACTATCATGAGTTTCATCTCAAGAGTGATTGCCTTCCTCTTCCCACCAGAAGTTGGGAGACAGAGATGGGGGTTTTTGTAGACATGATGGGAAAACACAAAACACGACATCCAACAAGCGCTGGCAACACAGTGCTGTGGGTACTGGTTGTTTATCCTCGTGATGCTTGGCTGACTGCTGCTTTCCGGCATTGAGAATATCATACTAATCCAGGGAAATATCAAAATTCAAAATTTCAAGGATGGTTTCTACTGAATGCATATCACTATCACACCCTTGTAAAGTTGAAAAATCCTAAATCAAACCATCAAGTTGGGAATGACTGAATAAAAAAAAAAAAAAAAAAGCTTCCCTCTGTTCTCTGTGATCACCCTAAGTAGGTTAAGCAGCAACAGAGTTGTAGATAAAGTGGAAGGGATTGGTAGAGGGAGGGAGGAATCCTTTAATCTTTGGTGGTGGCTGTGATCTTAACAAAGAATCAATGGTAGGTGCTAGGGGCCTTACGTAGACCAGGTAGTTTCTCTACTTTGGGCGCCTGGGCAGGAATTTCTGAAGACCTCCAGGCAGCTATGGAATCTGAAATCTGGAATCCGGACAGAGCACTGGGGCCTGAGGGTGGAGCAGGCCCTCCTGGTTCTGTGTCATCCTAGCTCGACCTTCATATCTGGCTGTGATCCCCTTGGTTTAGGCCATGCCACCCCTACCCTCTGAGAGTGAGAGTGTGGCCAGGGGAACCAAAGACACTCATCCTCTGCATTAGCTTTGCAGTTTCTGCTCCAAAACTTTAAAAAAATATTTTTATTGATTTCAAAGAGGAAGGGAGAGGGAGAGAGAGAGAGAGAGAGAGAGAGAGAGAGAGAGAGAGAGAGAGAGAAACATCAATGATGAAAAAGAATCATTGAAAGGTTGCCTCCTGCACACCCCTACTGGGGATCCAGCCTACAACCCAGGCATGTGCCCTTGACCGGAATCGAACCCGGGACCCTTCAGTCCGCAGGCCGACACTCTATCCTCTGAGCCAAACCAACCAGGGCGGCTCCCAAACTTTTTATAACCTTATACATTCCACGAGAACTTTGGGGTGGTGGCAGAGATTCTAATTTGTTCCTATTTTAATTGTTCTGGAGGTTTGGCCCAGGCACCAGTACTTTTAAAAAGCTCTCAGTTGATACTAGGGAAATATTCAGCTTTCTCTAGGGCTGAGAGAGCCTGTGATGGAGCGGCGTGTGAGCTGGAGCTGGAGTCCAGAGGCCTGATTGCCAGTGCACTCCCTCTCACCCCTTTATTCACCCCACACCTTCCCAAAATGCTACTGGGCATCTTTCACCAGGGAGACCTCTCTGGGCAACCAGGCAAATCTGTGTGGGAGAGGGCAGCTTGTGTGGCTGTGTGACTACCTTTCTGTGACTGAGTGCTCCTTCTTATGGGCCATACAAGCCAGTCTCTCCTTGTGTTTTAGTTGGTGGCATCCGGTGAGTCCCTGCCTTTCAGGATCTTGGGAAGTCTGTAATTATGCTTTGGAGGTGAATTCAAATGTTGTCTGGATTGCAATTCAAATGGTAGCACCCCCTCTCTGCAGAATGCTGGATTTGAGCTAGGCATCTAAGCTACAGAGGAATTGGACTTACAGATGAAACTACCAGAGAATGGACTTTGGCCAGTGAGAGGAGCCACAGTAGAAGTTACACTAAGGGGACAAAATGAAGGAAGGGGATCTGTGGGTGTTGGTCGTCTGACTAGAGTGCCGAGGGTTTAAGAACTGTGACATCTGCACCAGGTTGCACACTGCGGGTTGGATTTCGTGAGAGACCCCAGCACACTGGAACATCTGGATTCAGTATCTGCGGCTCCAGAGGCCTCCGCATCACCAGCATCATGGCCGGCCGGCCCTCTCTGCTCCATCTGTGTGCTCTGTCAGAGATAATGAAATCAGACAGGCCCCCGGAGACTTCTCTTCTCTCCTCACAAATTTTTAATAAAACTCTTTGAACAACAGAGCTGGGCATCTCTGAAGCCTGAAATTAAAGCGATAAGATGGAAGATTACTCACTTGTCAGTGTGCACCAAACTGCATCACCCGTACAAATGCCAGGGAGTGTTTCTAAATCTGCCGGCAATGTGCGGCTCCCCATCTGGAGGCCGTTCTCTCTTATTGCAGAGGAAGGAGGTGCGGCACCGAGGAAGGGAGAAGAACCACTTCGTTCTCTGCCACGAACAACATGGGAGTCAAGCCCTGAATCGGGTTTCCAGAGAGTCCTTTTTAGAGATTTGCTTTTGAATTAGCAAGTGTCCCCATTTCAGGCTTTCTGAGACAAAATGTAACCCCAGTTGTTCATTGGGGTCACCCCCCACTCATTCATCTGGATCCCGAGGTCCGTCCCATTAGTCTCCATGGCCACCCTCCACCTGGCCCTGCTGAGAGGACAGGGCACATCTGGCCGCATGGGGCTCCACGGCCAGGCGTCAAGGCCAACCACAGACCAACACGTGTGTCCCTCTCCGTGTACTGACAGGTAGTGTTAGTGCCGTGAGGAAAACTCACATGTGTCGTGGGGCAGAGGATCATGGAGGACCAGGGACGTTTTAGACGGGGCACTCCGGACAGGCCTCTGAGCCGGGTTGTAAATTAAGTATCTCTGTAGCCTGGCCCCTTCCCAAGGCAAAACTCTTGGCATTAATCCTGCAAGCAACATTACTCAGTTTTCTATAAAAGAGACTTTATTTAGCCTTGGCTGAGATTTAAGAAAGAATTAGTAGTAACTTTCTTCCCCCCCCCCCCCAGCCCCATTTCCTTTCCCCATTACCTTCCTCTCCTGTTTCTCTCTATTGCCTTTCTCTTATCTTGCCTACCGACTCATAGCAGGAAGAAAATCAAATGATTGAATGTTTCCATTCTTTTGTAAACTGCAGGGTATTTCTAGAGTCATAAGCTCTCAACACCAATGGCAAAGCAAGCTGCAGCGATTCACTGCGCCCCTGCACGTTCCTGCGGGGTCCCCCACAATGTAAATGTTACGGTGGCTCTGGCCCAGGCCCCCTGTAACACCCATGTGAAAACCACGGGCCTCCTGCCTAAAGAGAACAATGAGTGGCCACTCTGTGTCCTGTACTCATGCCCCATCATTTCCCCACGAAGGCGTGACTCTAAGCGAGGCACCAATGCTCTAACACGGCATCTGCCTCAGAATAGAGTTGTAGTCTTTTCTGTGAAAATGTCCTCAGGACTGTGTGGGCCAGTGTCCCGACAGGAAACACAGTTCCACTCAAGTGGTTTAAGTGACTGACTAGAATGCTATGAAGGGGCTATTGTGAGAGGTGTGGGTGAGGGAAGGGAGCAAACAGAAGCATCCAGCGATTAGCAGGAGCAAAAGGCCATTAGCACCTCCAGGGCTGAAAGGCCAGGGGAAGGGGGTTTGTTTTCAGAGCCCACTGAGAGCTGGAGCCCTGCAGGCTGTGACCTGTCAGAATGCCGCCTGCCAGAGATAAGGGGAGGGGGAGGGACAGGCAGAGGAGTCCCCAAGCAGCCATCTCTCCTCTCACTCCCCAGGCTCACCCAGCCGTCCAAGAGCGTGGACAGTCCGCCCCTAGGACCCAGAACAGGACAGAGGAAGGCAGAGAAAGGAGCCTGAGGATGGCAAATGCAGGATCTAAGGCACAGGGACCATCCCTAACGCCCACCTGCTCATCAGGTGCTTGGTCCATATGCGAGTCCACAGTGGCCACTACAACAACTTCTTCCTCTCTTCTTCCTTCCATTGTAACAGTTGAATATTGAGACAAGTCACACCTGGTAGACGGTCTCCCCGATCAAAGTTCCAAGGTGACCTAATTCAATGCCAGCTTTTAATCTAACCCGTTTCCAGCAATTGGCCTGTGGAGACGTGGTCTGACCCTGGGTGCTCTGTCTCTGCTTCCTCCCTCCCCAAGTCCCCTTTTTGGTACTTTAAGATGAAAGGTCATTTCAAAAGAATTTAATTATTTCCTTTCTAAGTAAACTCAGAAGAATGTCCTCTTCTAGATGATTTTTAGGGACTGTCTACAATTTTCTTATTTCTCCCTAATATTTTCTTTCATAAAAAAATTTAGGGCTTGAAAGTCATCTTAAGGTCATTTCCCTGCAGTGGAAGCTATGAAGATGAAAGCACAGCTGACTGGGGGCCCTGGTCCCAGCCTGGTTCTTGCTGAAGCCTTTTCAATGACTGCGTTTTCTGGCTCCGGCTACAATTATTTCACGGGTTGCATTGCAGCCCATAGCAGTTTCTTTCCTAGCTGAACTAGTTTCCTTGGCCTTGGCTGAGAGGTTTTTGGTGTGTGTGTGTGTGTGTGTGTGTGTGTGTGTGCTTTTTTAAAGAACTGTGCCAAAGGCACACATTCACACAAACCTATCCAGTAAATCTGTGTTTAGAAAGTGCAAGGCAGTGCTAATATTTATTGTGAAAAATGGCCATTGCCCACATCTTCGCCCACTTTGAAGAAACAGAATCCCGCTGCCGCCTAGAGAGAAGCACTTCTTCTGTTGTGCTCCATGCGTGCACAGAGAAAAACCACCTTTAAGCTGATATTGATCCGAGGGCTTTACCAACCCGGAGTCCTGCAAAGGGCATGTCAGCTCATCGTAAGCAGAACAGCATCACTAATTAGACCTGGGATTCGGGCTTCCGTTCAGCGGACGGCCCTTACTAAGTATCCCCAGTGAGCCCTCTTTGAAGCCTGAGACTAAGGAAGGCATGTGTGAAAAAATCTCATCAATATTAAATGATGTTTTATGGAGACCCATGAGGCCTTGCTGTGGCACGGGAATCATGCCACCTCTATTGGTAGCTCCGGAAAGTTTAAGTGGTCAACCTTGAAGAGAGGATCTCCACCCACAAAAATATATCTTCAGCCCATTTCCTATTAAATATAATTGATCTCCTTTCCTTTTACCCCTACCCCCACCCCGAGGTCATCAGGTAAGAATCCAGTGAAGATATTTTCATTTAAGTGCCAATGAGCTACAATCTCAGAATCGGTAAAAAAAAAAAAATAATAATAATAAAGCCACCGATGGTAGCCAAAAGCAGAGGGAAGAGAATGCACCTGAAGCCCAGCTATCAAAATCATTGTATTCCGTATGTGCTGTTTTATTACAACAGTCTGTCCAGGCCTGATGTCTGACACAGGACAATCGACTGGTCTTCCCCTGCCTGACTCTCTCTGTGCAAACCTAGCCCATGGAATGTGGTAATCAAGGCAAGGTCACAGTCCTCTATAACTGGGAGGAGAGTTCATCATCTCAGTTGGCGGCAGGAGCTATTGACTTTCTTGGATATAGTCAGAGAGGAAGGTCCTCCTGCTTCCTGACCCAGAAGTGAAAGAAAAGAGCATTCCTACCTGGCATATTCTGGGATGTGCATCAACTCAGGTCCCTGGTGATGCAGAATTTTCAAACTTTAAGAGGCTGAGGCTGCGAGAGCCCCTTGAGCTGCTGAGATAATGTGCAGGCCCCCAGCAGGTATCTGGAGATCTGCATCGTCATCTCCTGGATGATAAAGCTGTAGTTATGGTTAGGGCTCTGTTTAGAAATTGCTGACATTTAACCTGGAGGTCAGATCACATTCTTTCCCTGCTAACATCCCTTGCATGCTTTTTTATTGAAATTGGAATAAAAGTCTCAACTTCTCCATGGCTTATTCTGATCCCTCCCTACCCACCAATCTCATTTTTCTTCTTTCTCCCCATTTTACTAGGCTCGAGCCATGTGCCGGTTTGTTTCTGTGCCTCAAACACCTTGAACTGTTTCTTCTACCAGCACTCTGCACTTCTCACCTGTCTTCGCTCAAAATGCCTTCTTCTCAGAGAGGCCTTTCTCCTTGGGCCATGCTTCCAAAATAGCGCCCTCTTGCTGGCCCTCTCACTCACCCTCTCCCCTACTCATTTCCTTCAGAATTATAATGACAATCCGTTTTGTTTTGTTTTGGTCTGTTTCCTCCATGATAAGCTCCAAAGGGTAGGAACTTGATTTTGCTCCCCACAGTATCTCCTTCAGCAAGAATAGAGAAGGACATGTAGTAGGTCTCAAAATCTAATTGTTGAATGAAGGGAATCCTATTGGTTAATATTAATTTCCAATGTAATTCATTTGTGAGTATGAGCATGTCCAAGTCCACATTTTCTTAGAGCCCAAGATTACTGAGATGCAAAGCATCAAAGCAGTAGTAACCTTTGCTTAAAGCATCTCTCCCAACCCGGGGTGGGTGGGACAGGTGGGCTGAAGTTAAACTTTGGCTTTGAGTTTATGAATTCGTGAAGTTAACTGACCACTCAAATAAGAACTCAAGAGAATTATCAACCTTCCTCTTATTTTTTTAATTTGGGTTGCAAATATAGGCAGTGATACAAGTTCTAAAAAAAGAATTTTTAATCTGTTTTATTGAAAATGAAGTCATGCTTTTTAAACGTTCCTAGTATTTATTTGCTGTCCATTGGACATCATTTATTCCTTTTGTGATAGAGTCTATCGATATTTCACTTGGTGCAATATGAGATGTTATATCCTATTTTTTATGCTTTTCTTCTACATTTCCTGACACTTTTTGGAGTATCTAGAGCAGGGGTGGGCAAACTTTTTGACTCGAGGGCCACAATGGGTTCTTAAACTGGACCAAAGGGCCAGAACAAAAGCATGGATGGAGTGTTTGTGTGAACTAATATAAATTCAAAGTAAACATCATTACATAAAAGGGTACGGTCTTTTTTTTTTTTTAGTTTTATTCATTTCAAACTGGCCAGGCCCCCGGTAGTTTGCCCACGGCTGATCTAGAGGGTCCACATTGCTAAGGAGAATTAGGATTATTGTATTCAAAAACCGTCAGAGCAAGAAAGAGTTAATTGCAGCTTTATTTGTTTCTGCCCCTAAATTGGTTCTTGTATCTGGAAACAGTTATTAATGGGGTTTTATTTGAATCAAAAGCTGAGGTTCTAAGGGGCACAGAGCAGTCCACTTATGAGTTTATGCAGCAACAAAGCTTGAAAAGAAAACCAGGGTGGGTGCTGAGGCCAGTGGGGACAGCAGATCTTTCTCCCCTGTACCTTACAGGAGAGCACAGAGAGGTGTAGGGGGCTGTGGTTTGAAATGGCCACACTTGGGGCTCCAGAGGGAGAGGAGAGAGTAAAGAGGTGGCAGAGGACAGCCAGCGGCTTGAGAGCCCAGAAGTAGCGGCGCTGAAGCCATGGGTGGCCTTCTCTCTTTATGCATTACCCAGGCAAGAGGTCTGTGTCAGCAGAGGTGCCACCTGTGTCAGCAGAGGTGCCACCTGTGTCAGCAGATGTCTCCCCTGTGCCAGGAGGGGGACTGTCCTCCACAGCTGCCTGGAGCTCTGCCCTCAGCAGGACACCATCTGCAGACTGAGACTTTGCAGAGCCCCCATCAAACTGTCCCACTAGAAAGCCACCCTGGACACATAGTGACAGTGGGAGCAGACAATACCTGGGTGGGGCTGGGAGCAGGGAAGTTCACTCCCTGTGCACAAGCGGATTTCCCCAGGAGGAAGGTGATGGATGTCCAGCAGAGTTTTATCCGTGCCTTTTGTTGCAGATAAGCCCAACCAATATCTCACTTCTACTGCAGAGATCTCCTATACTGTACTTCTCGGGGGACTCTGGCCTTGACAGAATAAAATGTGAAAAGCAATTTGTACCATGTAGGTTTCCAAAAGGGAAACCAGCACACACGGTTGGCCAGCTACCGCCCTGTCATCACAGCAGCACAGGGAGCAGCGGGGCGGCCCACAGCCACGATGCCCACATTTGGCCCTTACAGGAATACATGCTTCACACTGTACAAGTGTCCCGCCCCTCCCTGGCCTCCTGTAGCCTGAGAGCCCACCTGCCAAATTCTGGAAGCAACAGGCAGCATGATGGAGGTGGCTTAAAACTGAACTTGGTTTTATGATATATCACCCTCTCTCCAAAAGGAACCTGCAGACCTACCAGCCCTGCCGGTGGGAAGCTGCTACGGAGCTTCTCTCTTTTTTGCCCAAGGAAAAGGGGAGGGATACTTTTTATATTTCACTCTAATACTCAGCAGGTTAGGAGGGGCGCTCATTGTCTAGTCACTGGCTGGCTCTACTGTCCTACTTCTGCAAGGGCCACAGTCCTTGGCTCTCAGTAGACGCTCTGAAACACTGAATGGCCTGGCCTGGAAGGGTGGGTCCCCAGCTGGCTGGGAAGAATGCGGAGTGGCCCGGGAGCCGCCCTCTGCAGTCTGCTCACTGCTTGGGTCTGTGGTAAGAAGCCAGCAGGGACACCTGTTTTCCTCTTCGCTTGGGCAGCAGCTGCTGCAACAGAGCAGACGACGCAGCCGTGGGGAGGGGTGGCACGCACCTGTCAGTCCCTCTACTGTCCTCTTTTCTACTGGCCTTCCCACCCTCCTGAGGATGTTTTCCCTTTTATTTTTATCTCCTGTTTCATTTCAGTGACCCATGGGCTTTTGGCCATTCTTTTTGCCTTGATCCTTGACCTAACGCTTATTGTCCACACACACTGCCCTTTGGAAGGGGGGCTGGCCCCTGGCTTGCAGCTCATGTTGACTTGATCTGTGATTATTAGTAACCAGAGGATCTGCAGTGACCAGTGGTCAATCTAGCTCCCGTTCTGCCATCCACCAGAGGGTTTACCTCAGGGGCCCGGAGCACAGCGCTGGTCTCCTCTGTGCTCTGTGCTCACAGGCTGATAAGCTGCTGGACTCACCATGTGAGGAGTGTGTGAAGTGAAGGTTCACCTCTGGGTGCACAGCCGGAGCTCTCCTGTCAGTCTGAAAAGCAGGCGCTGTATTTAGTAACAGGCACTTGGGCTTCATTGCAGCCTCGTGTGGGAGTGGGTTGCTGGAATACAGATGTGCAGCCTCGTGTGGGAGTGGGTTGCTGGAATACGGATGTGTGGGAGTCTCCACCAATCCCCAGGGTGCTGAAGGCCAAGGCCCTGGGAGAGAGCTGGGCTCTTCCCCCCTCCACCTCCCCCTGACTGTTTGCATGGCAGCCTTTGCCAGTCAGGAAGCATACTTTAGTCCCTTTCATCTCGGCTGCTTTCATAACATGGAGGGAAGGGATCGTAATTGCTGAATGAACCATCACTCAAAATGTGGTGAACAGTGATTTTTCTCCCTTCAGCCCTCACCTCTTCTCCCACATCAGATTAACTAACCACTAATACGATGAGTGGAATAGTTTATTGCCTCATGACTTCTCTACTTAGGAAATAAATAAAAGGCATCGCCTGCTGCTGGGTTTTGCAGGAAATGTATCGTTGGTACTAAAAGGATTTTCTTTTACACTACAAAATCCCTTGGGTCTAAAAATATATCTTCCTTTATAAAATGTAATTGTATAAGTGGAACATAATTATTATGCATGAATTGATTTCTTATAAATTCAGACAAATTTACATAATAAATTTCTCATGGAAAATTTCTATTTTCTATGAGAATAGAAATTAATAAAAAATTGTCTTGTAGTTAAAGTTAATTCATTTGATGATATGAAAGTAAGTGCCTGTTTAACTGACTTATGGTAGCTCCAATTTAAGGGTAATTTGTTTATCCAGGAAATCAGTTCCAGGGGCATCTCTCTCTCTCTCTCTCTCTCTCTCTCTCTCTCTCTCTCTCTCTCTCTCTCCTCTTTCTCTTCTTCTTTTTGCTAAATTTGTCCTTTCACATGACCAAGACCTTAGGTTAAACAGATTGGTCGTTTCTAAATGTGAGGCTTTGGAAACATTAGAATATGGAATCTCCTTATTTCCACATATTTGCATCTGTTACAAACCCACTAATGTCCTCAGATTATTTTGTAGTTGGGTGGAGAATTCTTGTACAGTCAAAATATTGTACAGGGTTGAAGTTTCTGGTTGACAAATTCATTTGAATACTGCACCAAACCCACAGCATTTTTAACCGCCATCCACTGCAGCTGGAATGCTTTCTCCCCAGAGCTCCAGCTGGATGAAATGATTGGGCCATTTAGATGGCTTTGGTTAAAACTAACAAATTGCAGTATCATCTAATATGTGTGATTTGCTTAGAACTGACAATAGTCTGGTACATGGAAGATCTTTTGGATACTGCAGAAGGATATCTGGGGAATTCGTGTAGAAAAAGAACTTAACTGGGTCAGCACACTCTTTTGTGTGCAGTCACAAAACTGCTCATTACTGTTTGTCAAAAGTGTGCACAGCAAATATAAAATGTACCTTATGGCCAGATATGGAAGAGGGGTTTAATCATGACACTTCAGTGCAGATCAGAGGGGCCTGGGAAGCTGGGGTGGGGCAGTGATTGGAGATATTGGTACTTACTGGCAGAGTCCATAGGAGGGAAAGAAGACAGAGACTCCTGCACTGACAGTGAGGGACCGAATCCCAGGGACCGGCTGGAGTCAGGAGGAGGCCCCACCGGAGGTGAAGGTGCCTGCAGAGGTGCACAGG